GAGGGAGGGTGGGGTGAGAAAGAGAGAGAAACACTGACAGGAGAGGGAAACATCGATTGGTTGCCTCCCACATGTGCCTCAACTGGGGCCAGGGATGGAACCTGCAACCCAGGTACATGCCCTTGACAGGGAATCAAACCCACAACCCTTTGTTGCGTGAGTCAATGCTATAACCATTGAGCCACACTGGCCAAGGCCAAAATGATCTGAATTTTACCCTTTAAACTCCACAGTGAGGCAGAGTTGGAACTAATTTGTAGCCACCCAATTTCTGCTCAGTACGGAAGGTAATTGTGGACAGTGCTGGCATGACCTTAGGTAACCTTAGGTTGGGCCCTAGCTCTACTGCTCACTGGCAGGGCAATCCAACATAAGCTATGAAGGCATTCCGGGCCTGGGTCTCTCAATTGTACACAGAGGAAGGAACTAGAAAACTGTAAGGTTATCTCAGCTCTGACATCCAAAGACACTAAAGTACCACATGACTGCCACTCCAGGGTTCTGACCTCCAGAAACCTATGGGCCAGCTGCCGCTACTGTTCTCCTGCTGGGCGTGCATTCTCACTCCTAGGCCTAACTCCTGCCTGTTCAAGGACCCATCTCTGGGCAGGAACTGATAAAGTCTTAATAAAACAAAGTACCATCACTGGGTGGGTTAATTCATGCCTGAAACAAGTAGAGACAGCATCACATCCTAAACACTGAGGGTACACCTGCCCAATTCAGCCCCACCCAGGGAATCCTTCCTCCTCAGAATGAGCTGGCCTGAGGCAGAGCCAGGGCAGGAGGAAGGGGTGCTGAGGGAAACAAAGGAAGCTAAGGGTGCACGTGGGCTGCCTTGCCTCGGGCCCTCAGTGAACAAGCCTGGAGAGGATGCTTCATCTCCCTTCTCTGCTCTCCTCCGTTCCCCTCCCCTCCTCTCAGAGATCTAGTTCAGCCCTTCCCTCACTGAGTAAATAAGGAAACTAAGGCACAGAGAAGAGGTACCTAGTCCAAGATCACATGGGGGTGGGTTGGTCCATGATTACTTATCCCGCAATGGACACACCTGCAGACGCTAGAGCAGTGTGGGAGGTCAGGGCTCAGGAAGGGGGGCCTGCAGGTCCTAAAGTCTACTCACTGGCCTAAAGAAGGCTGAACTCAAAACTGCTCCTGAATAGGGCTTGGGAATTTGGTAGCTAGAGAGAGCACCAGCTTTTCCCAAGCCCAGTGCTTTGCAAGCAGTTTATAATCCAAAGCCAATGTTTTAATAAGGGCCACATTGTCTATTCTCAGCTGAGAAGCCATAATGCATCTCTCTGACCCATAGTAACAAGGTCCTGTGAATTCTGAATGATAACACAGGCTTGAGAATGCCAGTTAAACAGCCTAGTGACATGGGCACCCAGGGCACCACGAACACTAGGGAATTTGCTCACCCACCCTTGTCATCGAATATTACAGAACTAGCTACTTGCAATGAGTTGCCTAGTTCTGGCCCAGCTCGCCTTTCAGATGCCAGATTCAGAAATTTCAGAACAGATGCTAAAAGCAGAACAAGAGGACATAATCTGCCACTGGGAAACTCAGGCACTGCCCGAGGTGGGAGAGGAAGGGGGTGGCTAGGGGAGGTCCTTTCCTCTGATTAGTGATCCTGAACCTACAGAGCACCCCTCCCCCCCCCAAAAAAAAACCCTGGCCATTCTGCCACTCGCTTGCATAGCCTCCTGACTAGGCTCAGAGCACCTCATCTACCAAGTTATATGGGTGTGGATGGGAAGGCAAGAGCGGTACCACAAGACCCTGCGCTTCAGAACAAAAACCCTGGATTCCCACTCTTTGACTCTGGGAGGTCACCTTGTCCCTTTGAACCTCAGTGTCTCATTAAAAACACCCCCTCGCCTGCCCGGCCGGGCGTGGCTCAGCAGTTAAGCATCGACCTAGGATCCAGGCGATCAGGGTTCAATTCCCGGTCAGGGCACATGCCCTGGTTGCAGGCTCGATCCCCAGTCAGGGGAGTGCAGGAGGCAGCCGATCAATGACTCTCTCATCATTAATGTTTCTATCTCTCTCTCCCTCTCTCTTCCTCTCTCTGAAATCAATAAAGATATATTAAAAATAAAATTAAATAAATAAATAAAAAATTAAAAGGGCACTTTGAAAGGTTGTCAGGAAGAATATATGCGAAGCAATGTGAGATGCGGTAGAGCACTTCCAAATTCTAAGGCGGCATTATCTTTCCCTTTGCAGGACTCCGTTCACTCATTCCCCTGCCAATAGGACATCTGAAAAACACAAACCTTGAACGATTTCTCCAGCTGTGTCACCCCAGCTGTGTCACTGCAGACTGGCCTCCTGGGGGGGAAAGTTCCAGGTCTGGAGGGAACTCTGGCTTGTCTCAGGCCCAAATGCCCACTCCACAACACACACTCCCTGCTGCTCCTTCCGCAGCCCGCCAACACTGCCTTCTGCACTAGCAGCACCAGAGAAGGCAAAGGGCACTGTTCAGCGGTAATCTCCCTGTGCCAGGGGCCACTGAGCTCAGAGGTGAAGCTGGTTCCCTCACAGTGCTCCAGACAGTTCTTGCCACACAAGCTCAGCAGAGGGCGGCTTGGAGTCTCTGCTCAACATGTCACGAGGGAAGTAACCTGGCAGGAGAGTTGCTTTACTTCTGGGATATTGACAGATCACTAAGTGACAAACCCTAAGACTCGTCCTCACCAAACTTTCCCAGCACCATTTCAGTGATACAAGCTGATAAGGCAATCACCAGAAACGTCTTCTGTACCCACTCAGGAAAAATGCGTAAGATCTCAACTACGTGGGACATCTTACAAAGGAGCACGACATGGGAAGAGCTGGACCAACAATAAAATCTAATTCAAATTCCTACGAGATGTAAGAACACAGACAAGGCACTATTTTTTGCATCAGTAAAACAGG